CATCTGTGACTTTTTGCCCCAGATACAACCAATTGTTTAAAATTCTGCCAACTTCCAGATCTTAGTGCTTTTACAATGCACTCTCTCTCTCTCTCTCTTGTAGATTTACTTTGTAAAACACGCTCTAAACACTGCCTCTGGCTGCCTGCCAGTCTCCTGTGAACCAACCGGTGTCTCCTAAGATCTGATAGCCCTGCCTTAGCTTCAGCTTGTAGGATCTCTTATAGCAGTGAAGACATTTCCCCCCTCATGGCTAGAGGCATAACCGTAATTAAGCTCTACATTGGAGTTCGGTGCAAAGCTGCAAGCAGATTTAAGTCTGTGTAGATACTTGAGCCTCCCCTGCCCTTCATTTGGTTCCAGTCCAGCTCTGCTTGAATACTACTACAGTTCCTTGGATGTCCTTAAACTATCCTTGAGTACGACAAAGCATTTAGTACCACACAACCTTGCAACATGGGGTCACAAGCAATATCTCATTTTGTTCTTGTGAGTCTCATGTTGCACAGCTCCTGAAAGCACAGGCTTGGGAGCAGTGTTTTAACCAGCCCTATGCAAAGCTGGCAGTGACAAGACCCATGCCAAGTCCAGAGATCATGATAATGCTCAAAGTTAAAAGTATTGAAGAGGCAAGGATTTCTTAGGGTGATATATTTTATTGGACCAACTGCATAGTTAGGATAGACGTGCCTTTCCCATGATTCCTAGACCACAGTGACAATATCATCACTTTAACACTACCGTAAGATTATTAAACATTAATCTATTGTTTCCTGCTATTTCCACAGAGTCATAATAACTCTCCAGAACTTTCACCTTTTAGCAGGGTAGGTATGGGGTATAACCATGATGGTTCAGATAATATGCAAGAAGCAAGGGTTTGGGGATAGGGGCCTGTTGGTTGTGATCTTTTATTGGAGAAAAATTTGACAAGCTTTTTGAGCACCCAACTGCCTTTGGTCCAATTAACGATATAACCAACCTTTCACCCTCTTGTTTCACACCCTTTTTGGACTGAATTTTTCCAGGCTTAGTTTCAATGGGTGAATTTTTGTGGGAAGTTTGAGCAAAATCTCTTCAGTGCCTGTTACCTCAGAAGTCCCTGGAAAAAAAGATACATACTTACTTTTCTCTATATAAATTAATTCTAACCCTATTCTTTTAAAACAGGACTGCACCCCAAATGGAGGATGTTTGAAGCTGAACATTTGGTCTGTACTAGAAAGGCTTTGCTAGGTTTATATTTACCAAAGTTATAAGCATTTGAAAATTACACCGTAAGTATGCATGAACAATTCTTTCATTAAGTCTCACTTGCGGTCCTGCTCTAGCAGGCTGCTTCCATTGCAAGGGAACTACCAGGTATTAGAACCTGAATTCAATTAATTTGGCTCACAGGCTGGGAGGGGGAATGGCTTTATTGTTTGCATGCCAGTGTATTGTGCTTGTGAGCAAGCAGAGATTGTTTAGCTAGGAAGTAAATGCAGGAAAAATGCTGAAGTTTCAGGGCGGAGATTGAGTGAGAAGTAGATAAAGTGAATTCTTTCTGTTTACCTTCTCTGTTGCAGGATGGGGTATAGAGGGAGGTGACTTGACTCAGGTAGGAAAGAATGTAAGGGCAGGGGTTTTACATTTCAAGGAGAGGGAACAGAAAGAGCTATGAGCTCTGTTGTTCTGTTAGTGCAGGAAGAGGCAGCTACAAAGGCGAATGAGACGGGGAGAGGTAACTTGACTCTCTAGCTCTGTGTTTAGGGCATTTTAAGAGGGAAGAAGGTCACCTGAGTGCCAGTCCGAGTTCAGGGCCAGACTGTAGTTAGTTCTAGTTGTTTGGAGTCAGTTTCCACTTGCTGAGCTTCACAGGGGGAGCAGCAGCAGCAGGTTTGGATTTAGCAAGGGTTAGAACTACTTTGCTGCCCTGCATCTGAGACTCTGCAGTGTGGTCTGACATGTGAAACCTGTGTTTTACTTGTGGTCCCACACACAAAAACTCTGCCTCGGTCCTGTAAAGCAGGGGTAGTTTTAGTTCTTGACACAGTAATGCAAGACTACTGTCGTCAATATTCATGATACTCAATTCTATTCAATATTCTATTTAGTTGGTCTAATAAAAGTTATCACATCTACCCAAAGAACCTTGTCTGTTTCTCAATATTCATGATACATTCAGACGTTCTGGTGTTAAAAGGGACTGCTCAGCTATCGAAGAGGCACCTAAACCGATTACACATGCCCACCTTGTGAACAGGGGGAGAAAGCATTTTTGTTGGAATGGTAAAACAGAACTATAAATTCCTTCAGCATGCATGTCTGCTCCCACATGAAACCAGAGACATGGTGGTTTTCCCATAAGGAAGGAAGAATTGGGAGGAGCCTCTGATGTAAACACACTTTAAAAAAAAGAATCTCAAGTACTACCAGGAGGCAGGGCTCTTCCTAAGCACTGAGAGCTGGGGTTATGCTAACATTAACTGAACTCGACCTGTGACTGTGCAGAAGGAGGGTGTGATCCACAGGAATATGGCTAAGAGCCAGGTCTTTGTTTCCAGCTGCCCTTGTGCCAGCTTAACTCACTCAGGCAATAATGAGCTGGGATGGGCAGCCCTGGCCAGGGCTCGGGGACTTCTGTCTGGGGAGGATCTTTGAGTTGAAGAAGGGAAGGCGGAGTGACTCTGGGGAGGGAGGAAGCAGCTGCAGGTGACAGTGAAAGAGGGACAAAAGGAGGAGGGGTTTGTAGCCCTAGAGAGGAAGGCATAACACTTTCAGGATCTCTGGTGCATAGGAGATAGGAGGGGCAGGGAAAGTAACAGCCACTGCAGGGGGAGAGGGAGTGGCAAAGTGTGGGGGAGGAAGGACAGTGCCCTGGGGGAACTTGTTCCCTGCCAGGAATAGCGGGAAATTGGGGGCGGAGAATAGAGGCAGAAGGAGTGAGCAAAGTTGGAGGAAGCAGGGAGCATGGATTTCTAGCTGAGCCAGGTACAGGTGCAGCCAGAGCCAGGTGGCCAACTGGGAGCCTCAGGGTGACCTCTGGGTGAGGGATCCAGGCAGAAGAAGCAGGCGCCATGGCCTGGAGCTGGCGGCTGCAGCAGGTGCTGCTTCTCACTTGGCTGCCTGCAGGTGAGTGTGGGCAGGAGGCGGGTGCTGTGCAACCTTCCCCTGCTATTTGCAGCCCTCCTACCCCCTTGCCCTTGGGCACCACCTCCTCAGTCCCTTCGCACTAGCAGTTTTGGGGCTAGGGGCTGCCCCTTTGGGAGCTTTCCCTTTGCCCCAGGGGCAGCACCTACCACTTGCTACAGGAGTGGGTGTTGGGTTTTTGCCAGGCTGAGCTGGATTCTCCAAAATGGGCAGGCAGCTGTGGGAAGGAGCGATGCAGGGTGTCCAACTCTGTGAGGTCACCTCTGCTGTGTAGAGGGGCCAAGCCCTTCACAGGGGAAGGGAAAAAGGAGGGTGGTGGTACTTGCCTCCTCTATTTTGGCTCCCCACTGAGCTGTGCTTTGCAGTGAGGGCCCAAGCTTCAGCTGCTGTTGGGAGATGAGGCCTTCCTGGGGATGGACCCTCTCCTGAGAAATCGCTGCTCTCAACCCTCCCCTGTTCCCTGCTGGCATCCAGCAGCCTGCAAGGATCCTAGCATCTTAGAACGATTGCTGGTGGCTGGACAATTCCTGGATGATTTGGCCTCAAATATGATGTTTGAGAGCTTTGCTAGGGAATTGGTATAGAAAACAAAATAGTAGGGTTTTGTGTGTACATTGCTGCTATTCAAAGAGCTGCATTACCATGTTGTGTTCTGGCTAAAATTTGGCTTCATCAATGAGAGAGAGCAGTGGCTTTTCACTTTCACATGTGAGGTATCAATAAATGGATAGCAACTGGCTCTTCTCTTTCAAGCAAAAAGGAGAGGCAGTATACTCCACAGGGCACTAGGCTTGAGGCCAAACCGCCTAGATTCTTTTTTTTTTTTATTTCTGAAACTGACTTAAATGGCCTTGAGTGACTCACTTAGCCTGATAGTTCTGAGCTGTTGAGTGCCTCCATATCCTGACTCTTTGAGGAGGTACTGTAGGTTCTTCATATTTTTTAAACTAGGCTTACCTTTTCATCTCTTTCTCCATCTATAAAGCAGAGGCAGTGATATTGAAAAACATTTGTGGATCTTAAAACTCTATACAGATTAAATGGATTATATGGATTCTAGCTATCTGATTCCTTCTTGAGAGAGATGATTGCAGGGATGTTGTGGCAAATGGATATTCTGTTGTTTTGACCAGATCCGTGGTTTTCAACCTTTTTAAACTTAAGGCAACTCTTGGTTAAAGCCAGATTTTTTTAAATTGTTTTTTGACTACAGAAAAAATA